TGGGAGCTTGGATTAGCCTAGTGACTACAAATGTGGGGCCACAGTTCATATGTCCCACTGTTGCAAATAAAACTAAAAAAAAAAAAAAAAAGACTGACTAGGACACCCAGCCTAGACAGGAGGATGAGGCAGTGTTTTCTGGAGACTGGTGCTACTGCCAAGGCTGCTTAGAGCAGGAAGTGGGGTTGCTGGTCAGGGCAGCATATCTCCCTCCCTCTCCTCAAGACAGGGTTTCTCTGTGTAGCTTTTGAAGCCTGTCCTGGCTCTCTGTAGATCAGGCTAACCTCTAACTCACAGAAATCTGCCTGCCTTTGCCACCCAAGTGCTGGGATTCAAGGCGAGCTCCTCCACATCTGATTTGGCTCTGATTTTAAAGCCTGCGGCTCACAGCTTACACCATTCTCTAGGATCTTGGAATTCAGCACGTTTTTCATATCACTTGGATTATTTCCAACATGATATGTGAGAAGAATGAGAATCTGTCTCCATGTCTGGTGATTCCAAATTAAAAAGTGATAGGACCTTGTGGCTATATGCTACCCTACCCTGGGTTCCTCTTACGGTGTTTTCAGCCTTTGCTTGAATGACATGCTGAACATGTTTGTTCCCTCTGACAGATTATAAACCTCATGTAAGAATGGCAATGGTGCCAGATGGTGGTGGCACACTCCGCCTTTAATCCCAGCACTCAGGAGGCAGAGACAGGCAGATCTCTGTGAGTTTGAGGCCAGCCTGGTCTATAGTGCCAGGACAGGCTCTAAAAGCTACAGAGAAACCCCGTCTCGAGGCCATGGTTGTGATGGTGGTGCACACCTTTAAAGCAGGCAGATCTCTGTGAGTTTGAGAACAACCAGGACTACACAGAGAAACTCTTGTCTCTGAAAACAAACAAAAAAAGAATGGTAATGTTTCTTGATGGTCTTTGATGTTCCCTATACTTTGCATGCAGGATCCTTTATGTAATCTTGGAACTTTTTTATTTTATTTTATTTTTTTATTGGTTTTTGGAACTGGATTTTTCTGTGTAACCCTGGCTGTCCTGGAACTCACTATGTACAATGCTGGCCTTGAACTCAGAGGTCTGGTCTTCCTGCCTCTGTGATACAATACTGCACCAGGGTGGGATGTTGGCGGAGCCCATGGTAGGGGAGAAACTAGCCCTCAGGCAGAACTTAATGGAAAGGACATTTTATTGGGAAAGGAGTGGGGAAGGGAGAGAGAGGTGGGGGAGACAGAACAGATAGAGATCTGTCTGCTTCCTCAGAGATGCAGAAAGAGAGGGGAGGTGGGCAGGGTTTGCGTCTTAAGGAAACTTTTGCACCTGCTTGCAGACTGTAGTCACATAGTAGCCATAGGCTGGCCAGGGTACTGCCTGAGTGCATTCTGTCAGGTGACAGGGCAGGCCAGCATAATACCTGCATCCTTACTTACACTCTGCCTTCCAAGTGCTGGGGTTTTAGCCAGTAGAGACAGCCACTTCTGAGTGTGTTTAGAAATTCAGAGATTATGGAGCAAGACCACATCCACTCTGACCAAGACTAGACAATTACCACCTTGACACAGCTAAAGAAGCATGGCATGTTTTCTAGTTATTTTTTTCCCCTTTGGTGAAGTGTCATCTTCAATTAACTGTTTATCTGAGGCAGTCTCACTATGTAACCTAAGTGGGCCTCAAACTCAAGTGGTCCTACCTTGGTTTCCATGCTGAGTTTATAGGTGTTCTCCTATTTCCAGCTTTTAATTGACTGTGAGTTCAGAGACGTGAATACAGGCAGTGTTGTGCAACCAACACTGCTGTCGTTTGTAGATTTAATTTAAGACAATCCAGGAAGCGTGAGGAACGTTTTATTAGAGAGGAAGAGCAGGGCAGGCAGACTGGGTCTTGGCGCCTACTGGGAGGATAGGGTGAATGAGGGAAAGGTGAAGATGGCTGACAGGCTCTGCAGTGGAGGTCAGCAGGGGCTGTGTGAAGTGAGGGGCCTTGAGGAAAGACAGGAAAGCTCAGGAGCAGGGCAGCACGCTATGCTCCCTGGATGTGGGAGACCCTGGTGGTAAGAGACCGGACGATAGGGAATAGGCAGGCTGTTTGAAATTCTGCAAGCTGTGGCGCATTGAGAGGAGTTTGTAGCCTTTATATTATGTCAGTATGGGGATAATTACTCCTCCCTGTCTCCTTAAAGTGGGTCAGCTTTCCCGAGGGGTGGTCTGGCAAGCCCAGTTGGATTGACTGTTAAAGGAGCGGACAGTAGTGTGTAATGTTTAGGATGTCTTGTCTCCACTGGTGGCCAGGACATATTTGTTCTCTATAACAGATTATAAACCCTGTGTAAGAATGGTAATGTTGGCCGGGCGTTGGTGGCGCATGCCTTTAATCCCAGCACTCGGGAGGCAGAGGCAGGCGGATCTCTGTGAGTTCGAGGCCAGCCTGGTCTACAGAGCGAGTTCCAGGACACCCTCCAAAGCCACAGAGAAACCCTGTCTCAAAAAACCAAAAAAAAAAAAAAAAAAAAAAAAAAAAAAAAAGAATGGTAATGTTGCCAGCCGGTGGTGGCGCACGCCTTTAATCCCAGCACTCGGGAGACAGAGGCAGGTGGATCTCTGAGTTCGAGGCCAACCTAGTCTTCAGAGCCAGTTCTAAGACAGGTTCCAAAGCTACAGAGAAAGAAACTTTTTTGGGGGGAAAAAAAGAAATAGTAACTTTTCCTTAATGAGCCTCAACTAAGCCCTGATACCTCTACCTTATTTGTGGCATTTTAATCCTTAAGAAGAGGGCAGCAGTGACTGCCCTGTCACAAAAAGTCCCGTGTGTTGTCGGGGAGGTGGGAGTCCAGAACTGATCTTGAGGGGAGTCTGTCTGCAAACAGCAATTCCTCATTCACGACACAGCAATTGTAATAGTCCACTCCTGATTTCTAGTCTAGCACTGTCCACCTCCTTTTCAAACCAAAATTCTACTTTGGGGAAAAATACCTAGAGGCTCTCCACCCAGATGCCCTCAGACCAGACTCTCCCACTTGGGATTTACATAGACACCCTCATCGGCCATGCAAATGCAAAGTCTGCATTTCCTTCACAAACTAGGACACCTGCTGGGCAGTGGTAGCAGAGACTGGCCTGGTCTACAGAGGATAGTCAGGGTTACACAGAGAAACCCTGTCTTGAAAAAGAAAAAAAAACCTTAGAATATCATACCTAAACAGTTTATTTTATGCTCTGTTTTCATTTTGTTATTATAAAGTGTTTTAGGATGTATAAAACCATAAATTAATGCCTTGTTCAAAAAAAACACTGTCTTATCTAAAAACTATTAATGACTCGTCCAGCATTCTGGTTTCCTTGGAGGAGTCAGGGTGCCATGAAAAGCCTATGGGAAAAAACACTGACCTCGATTCAGCTTTCTACTTAGTTAGAACAAGCTTTTAACTTTAGGAAAGTTGCTTAAAATAGCTGAACTTAAGAACATTGAGCCCTGCATTTGCCAAATACTTAGGAGTGGGGGACTGACCTGGAGCTCAGTGACAGCCCACTCACCTAGCACAAAGCCAGCTCTGGGGGAAGAGCCGGATGTGGTGGTATACACCTTTAGTACCATCACTCAAGAGGTAGAGGCAGGAGCTGGACAATGGTGGCACAAGCCTTTAATTTTAGCACTAGAGGGGCAGGCTGATCTCTGTGAGTTCCAGGCCACCTTGTCTCAAAACAATAAAGCAAAAACTACCACATGACACAGAGTAATTATTTTGCTTGTTTTTGAGACAGGGTTTCTTTGTAACAGTCCTGACTATAGACCAGGCTGGCCTTGAACTCACAGAAATCCATCTGCCTGTGCCTCCCAAGTGTTGGGATTAAAGACATGCACCACCACCCATCTGATATGCAGAGTGATTATTAAGAACACCTCAGTTTCTTCACTTGCCATCTCAAGAATGATTTCTGAGGAATAGAAGGCTGACCCAAGGGTTATTAGGAAGATTTTTAAGAACTATTTTAATAAATGGCTCAGTTGGTAAACTGCCCAGCAAACATGAGGACCCAAGTTCAAACCCAGCACCTAAATAAAAAGCAGGGATTGGTGGTACTTGCTTGTAATCCCAGCACTGGGGAAGAAGACAGGTGATCTTTGCAGTTGGGGTGGCCAGCCAGCCTGCGTTTGTCCTAAATTCACAAAATGGAGTCCCTTCAGAAATAGACTAATGTTGGCCGGGCAGTGGTGGCACACGCCTTTAATCCCAGCACTCCGGAGGCAGAGGCAGGTGGATCTCTGTGAGTTCGAGGATGGGCTGGACCGACAGCCTCCAAAACAATACAGAGAAACCCTGTCTCATAAAACCAAAAAAAAAAAAAAAAAAAGAAAGAAAGAAATAGGCTAATGTTGACCTGGTCTTCATGCACACATACACATAAGACCCCTCCCCACACACATTATAGAGTAATCATATAAATTAAATTTTAACAAAGAGTGAAGTATTAGAGCAAAGAGACACAAGGCAGTGAAAACTGCTGTGTTTTCTGTGTGTCTGTGGAGGAAGGGTATGCATATGTACATGCATGTCTGTTCATTTGTGTGTGGTGTGCACATGGAAGTCAGCAGCTGACGTGGACTGTCTTCTTTGGTCACTCACCTGTGTGTTGAGCCGAAGTCTCTCACTTAGCCCATAGCTCACTACAGACATGTATCTTCCCCACCCCCACCCCCAGCTATACTCCAACACTCCCCCCCATGGTCTTTTTGTTTCTCCCCTGGTCCTTCCCATGTTCCTGTTGTCTCCCCCCCTTATTTTGATAAGAATCATGTTTGTTTTTGTTAGAAATAGTTACATTGTTTTGCTTAGGGGTTTATATGCTGGAAGAATCCTCACAGTGTTCAGCCTGTCTCGGGGGGACGGGCTTCAGTGGATGAGTGCCCAGCGGCTAGAGAGCTTGATGGAACTCGGGACCTGTCTTGGTGTGCTGGGCTGCTTTGAGGATGGAGTTAGCGTTAACTTTTCTTTCTCTTGCAGCACTAAACAAGATTGGTGATGAAATGGAGCCTGGAACAAACTCTTTTCGAGTAGAGTTTCCAGATTTTTCCAGCACCATTCTGCAGAAACTAAACCAGCAGCGCCAACAAGGACAGTTATGTGATGTCTCCATTGTTGTCCAAGGCCACATTTTCCGGGCACACAAAGCTGTTCTTGCTGCCAGTTCACCCTACTTTTGTGACCAAGTACTCCTGAAAAACAGTAGGAGAATTGTTTTGCCTGATGTGATGAACCCAAGAGTATTTGAGAACATTCTCCTGTCTAGCTACACAGGACGCCTTGTGATGCCTGCTCCAGAAATTGTTAGTTACTTAACAGCAGCCAGTTTCCTCCAGATGTGGCATGTGGTGGACAAATGCACTGAGGTTCTAGAGGGGAACCCCACGGTTCTATGTCAGAAGCTGAATCACGGCAGTGACCACCAGTCTCCCAGTAGCAGTAACTACAACGGCCTTGTGGAGAGCTTTGAACTGGGTTCCGGAAATCAGCACACTGACTTCCCCAAAGCACAGGACCTGAGGGATGGCGAGAATGAAGAGGAGAGCACCAAAGACGAGCTGTCGTCTCAGCTCGCTGAGCACGAGTACTTGCCCAGTAACTCGTCCACAGAGCACGACCGGCTGAGCACAGAGATGGCCAGCCAGGACGGGGAGGAGGGGGCCAGTGACAGCGCTGAGTTCCACTACACCCGGCCTCTGTACAGCAAACCCAGCATAATGGCACACAAGCGCTGGATCCATGTGAAGCCTGAGCGCCTGGAACAGACGTGTGAGGGCATGGATGTCCATGCGACCTATGACGAGCACCAGGTCACTGAGTCCGTCAACAGCATGCAGGCGGAGCACTTGGTCCAGCCTTCAGGAGTGGATGAGGACTTCCAGATTGTGGAGAAGAAAGTGGAGGCAGGGTTCGATGAGCAGGCAGAGGAGAGCAGCTATGACGAGCAGGTGGACTTCTATGGCTCCTCCATGGAAGAGTTTTCTGGAGAAAGGTTGGATGGGAATCTAATTGGGCACAGACAGGAGGCTGCCCTCACAGCAGGCTACAGTGAGAACATTGAAATGGTGACGGGGATAAAAGAAGAGGCGTCCCACTTAGGATTCTCCGCCACTGACAAGCTGTATCCCTGTCAGTGTGGGAAAAGTTTCACACACAAGAGTCAGCGAGATCGACACATGAGCATGCACCTCGGTCTTCGCCCTTATGGCTGTGGTGTCTGCGGTAAGAAGTTCAAAATGAAGCACCATCTCGTGGGCCACATGAAAATTCATACAGGCATCAAGCCCTATGAGTGCAATATCTGTGCAAAGAGATTTATGTGGAGGGACAGTTTCCACAGGCATGTGACTTCTTGTACCAAGTCTTATGAAGCTGCAAAGGCTGAGCAGAATACAACTGAGGCTAACTAAAAATAGGGTCTGGCCTTGAGTGGCATGCACAAAAATAAACTATGGTAATTAATGCAAATCTGGGCACAGATGATGCGTGCCACTTGCTATTATGAGAGAAGCTTAAGAAAAAAAAGGAAGATATTTCTGAAAGACCAGCTCTAAGTAGGCCAATTAAAAAATTTAATTCCTCAAATTTGTATGTTCTAGTTCTGGCCTAGAATGGATGATGAGGATAAGTTCACCCAGTGCCCAACTGGCAAGATAGCCCTTACAGCCAGCAGTGACTGTGCAGTGGAGTTGGTGGCCGACTAACCCACCAGTTCGCTCAGGTGGTGGCGGTTGTCTGTCACTCAGTGCCCTGAGGTCATGTCGCATTTTCTTTTCCCCTGGTGGCAGGGCTTCTGGGGTATTGCTTTGGTAGCCGTCACTGGATGCTACTCCCCTCAAGGCTACAGCAGCCCAGACTCCTGGGCTGAAATGTGAACGGAGCTCTTCCATGTCTGGTTTCATGCTTTCTAAAGTTCTAGCTGAAACTGTGACAATGTTCCATAGACCTGAGTCCAAAACAGATGACTAGGCTCCTGTTAGAGTGCTCCAGACTCTTGACAAAGCGCGGGCTTGTGTTTAGTTTTAATTGGGTTTGAACCATTGTCTCCTTTAAAGTGTGTGGGTGCCAAAGGTAGGTGTTTCTAGTTGATCTGTTAGCCTAAGCTTCCCTCATTTAATGGTAACATCTAGACTAGACATTGAACCTGCAGTGCCTCCTCACAGTACTGGTAGTGTCTTGTGGCCCTACTGCCTTAGATCATGGTGCTTCCCAACAAGGGTCAGCCAGGGACCACAGCTCATGGGACCTAGCCAGAATGCATGGCTAAGCGTTGCCTGTGAGTGGGATACTCCCATACTCAGCTGAGGCAGTAAGTAACTTATAAAAACAAAAGGCTATACTTGCGAAAGGTCTCAAATACACCAGTGTGGGGAATGCTGTTTTAGAGAGACATTGAGCAGTGCTGTCAGCTCTTTGAGACCCGGAGTGTGAGTTCAAAGTGTGAAATCTACCAATTCCTGTTCCTCAGTCGCAGAGAAAGCTGCACAGAGCACATTCACAAGGCCCAGTAGTTCACACCCACTAAGGGAAGGAAGCCACCCGCCCTTCAAGGCCTGCAGTGTTGGAAAGAAGGCTTGTATTCAGAAAGCTTTTAAGCATAAGCACGTGACAGGCCTGAGGCTCTTCCTGGGGTGGGTGTATGTCTCCTTTTCTTCCCTGGGATAACATTCTGACCTCAGGGGCTAGGGTTTATTCAGCTTAGACTACCCTGTCACAGTTCATCCTGGGGGACTCACAGCAGGAACTTGAATATCAGCCGCAGACATGGCCAGGGGCCAGTCTGATTTGAGCTGTCCCTCGATTTAGGCTCCTTCTCAGATGACTGTAGGCTGTGTCAAATTGTCAGCTCTAGCTAGACAGTAGGACAGGGTGTTGCTCCTATGTCGCCTTTCCATATACTTACAGTCTGTTACTGCTAAGTAGAAACTTTTTTCCCTTAAAATAAAAATTCTTTTTCTTGGATTTGGGGTGAAATTTTGTTTGTAAAGTTTGTTTTCTCTGACATTTCTGGCAAGGGCTTCTGATCATAAGACTTCTGACACCAAGAGTTCACCTTTGACCTTTGTTTGGGAAGGGGAAAGAAAATAGGGACTCACCAGTAAATGCTTGGGATCAAGATTGCAAAACAGGGATCTATTTATGAACACTGTATCAATCTTGGTATATAAGAGCACTTTGTATTTAAAACTTTATTATAAGTATAGATGTAGAGTGTTTTGTTTTCACCTAGAAACTAGATAATGCCTTCTAGTGGTTTGGCACATTCAAATGCTCTCCCAGTGTGGAAGTCTGCCAGTTTGCAGCAGTCCTGTATGGACCTCAGAAGCACATGGAGAGGATTGTATAGTCACACGAGCCTCCTAGTCTTCTCTCGGGAGAGGTCAGTGGATTTAGGGATGACCTTAAAATGTGTGAGGATGAAGCTAGTTATTTCTACCTTGAGGCAGTTGAACCATTCTGTAGTTAGAAGCTGCTCCCATCCTGTCCACCTCCTATTCACCGACTGCCTTCTGCGTATTGAGCGGTCTCCCATTGAAGTCTCTATTCATCTGAGAACTAAGACCCTTATGGAGAAGACTCTGAGGGAAAAAGAAAACACCCTGGCAACATCCGGGTCCTTGGGTTGTGTTGAATCCGTACCCTTGTCATGCATGGTGACAACTTTTGTTGAACTGGAATGTGGCAGACCCCAGGAACAGGTGGGTGTCCTAGGCCTTGGAGGCAGAGGAGTAAGCAGATTCTAGGCATTGAATCAAGACTTCTGACCTGCCTTTCCCAACAGAGGGCCTTCCTGGCACCCTGCTTTGCTATAGTACTGGTTTCCTCACTGCCTGAGGAAGTCCCCACCCTTCCAGACGAGCTTGAATACTTATGGCCAGCATTGTCCAGTGTCCAGGGACTTAATCAACCAGCAGGTGTTCCTTCTCTACTTTGAGCCTTGACTGGTCCTTAGAGGAAATGGCTTCCAGGCCCCACTGGCTGCAGTTCACAATCTGCATGCACCATGCCTTGGGTCTTTGCACAAGTCAGTGAGCTGCATGGTCCGGCTCCGCTTGGCCCTTGTTCTGAGCTCACCTTCCCTGGCCAGGTCCCTTGGAGCCTGCCCTAAAGGATTCCCTCCATTTCGGGGGGCCTTCACTGAACTACTCTGACCCTGGGCAGGCCTGTAGCTGCTGGGGATGCCCGCATGCCACAGGTGGCACGTCCTGAACGGCTATGGAAGGGAGGGTGAGGAGCAAAGGCTGCTGCAGCTGGGTCCCCGAGGTCGTGGAAAAGCTTTGCCTGTCCCACAGATGAGGTAGTGCTTCCTAAACTCTTGATACTTTGGGATGGGGGCAGGGTTGCCCTTGGCCTCCTGTGATTTAGGTTGCTCTGAGTGGTGACTAACTATCCAGTGAGTCCAGGTTTGCTTTGGGTTTCTTTCTTTTTTTTTTTGTCTCTGGTATTTACGTATTTAAAGGTACTAGTTTGTAATTGCAGATCTCTACTGATCATGCCCTGTGGGAACATGCTGGAACACCTTTGCAAATGTGATTTTTGTTTTTCTTTTTAAGTGTTGCTTGAAGCCTATGTCATGTCAGTGACTGCAGCCTCCTTTTATGTGGTTCCCAATGTTTCTTCCAGAAAATGACTTTATTTATGCAAGTCAGGTGACTCTTAGGCCTCAGAACCATGGGATGATAAACAGATTGTCATTAGGTGCATATCATGGATACTTGTGAACTGCCTGTGTTGCAGAAGTTAGTTCTTTCTAGAATTGCTGTCTTCGGTGTACAGCGTGGTTTTAATTGAATGTTACTGTTTAATATTTTCTTCTTATAGAAGAGACCATGCCCTTTTGTATGACACGTTTTAATAAATGTTACCTGTCCATTTTGTACAAAGTTGTGTTTTGTTTTTCTCGTGTTTTGGTTCTGGCTTTTTAGCCTAAGATTAAAGTTGTGTCATCTCACTGGGCAGTGGTGGCGCACACCTTTAATCCCAGCACTCGGGAGGCAGAGGCAGGCGGATCTCTGTGAGTTCGAGACCAGCCTGGTCTACAAGAGGGAGTTCTAGGACAGCCTCCAAAGCCACAGAGAAACCCTGTCTCGGAAAAAAAAGTTGTGTCATCTCCTTTTGATAAGTAAGAAGACCACATAGTCTGATATCAAGATCAATAGACCAGTTGCAGTAATGGGTACCTGCCCCTGGGAAGAGTCTGACTGGCCTCTGGTCAGGAGCCATTGAAGAAGCTAAGCTGGGAGAACTGATGGAGAGGCTGAGGGACTCACCCACCACACCTGGGTGCCTCTAGGTGAAGACCCGCATGGCCAGGCTCCTCTAAGACAACGGGCTGGGCACCACCACACCCTCTCCTTGTTGCTTCAAGCTCAGGATTGGTCCCTGCCTTTCCCAGCCCTCAGGTCCTTCACCACCTTATGTCTATTTCTCACCAGGACCTCTGCTACCACCTCAGGTGGCCTCATTTCACAAACCGCTGTTGCGCAGCACAGTCCAGAGGTGCCAGGATTCCAGAGCAGGCCGGTGTGGCTGCCACGTGCCCTGGCAGGCTTTTCTGCCCTGGGATGGCCCCGTGTGCCTCGGCCAGCACCTTGTATCACCTTGCTTTGCCCTCCTGCATCCTCCACCCCCCCCCCCCCCCCAAAGCCCGGCCCTGGAAAGGCAGCAGCCGTCTTCAGAGGCCCCACACACTTCCTAACACAGCTCATTACCAGAGACACTGCTTGTTTTAGACCAAACTTAACCGTCTTCCCACACAAGCCTTCTGTCACCACTGTTTGTTGTGACATGAATCCCCACCCCGTTGCCGATTTTGAAGCCAGCTCCAGATTGCCTAGACTCGTTTTATGTTCCCTAGGTGGGGAGAACCCCCAGAAGACCCCATCTAGCCTTTTTTCTTTCTTTCTTTTGAGGCGAAGCCTGTCCATTCTGAGCACAGGCAAACAGCACTGTGCATCATGATGAACCCCCCTCAACCTCGAGATCCTGGCGGACGGTGCAGCTGGAGCCATAGCTGCCCACCACATGGCACGCATCCCCCGACCCTCACCCTGGGGCGGAGGCCACAGGGCTGATGACAGCCACACGTGAGCACGAGGAGGCAGGGTGGCACAGATGGGAACAGGAGGGGGATGTGAAGTGTTACCCAGATGGAGTTTACAACACCTGCCAGGGTTTACTTAGCTTCCTTCCCAGTGGGCTCCGGGACAGCTTCCCACCAAGCCACAGAAGCGTTCCTCGAGATAGTCCAGTGGACCCAGGGGTCAGTCAGCAGCTGGAAGTGAGGAAAGCTCAAACCTGCTGTGCTCAGCGATGGTGTGGCGACCAGCTCTGAATATGTTCTTTCTTCAGTGTAGATAAACGAAGGAAAAATACACTCACGTGTTCTCAAACTGCTAGGCGTGTGTGTCGTCAGTGGTGGGGCGCTTGCTGAGTATGACAGGTCTGGGCGCCATGGTCAGCACTGTAAAACCAAACAACAGAAGTCGTCTGAAGTTGAGTGAAAGTGGGCATGCTGACCCTCTACTGAGAAACCCCAGAGGTCAGTGGGCATGCTGACCCTCTACTGAGAAACCACAGAGGTCAGTACGGAGTACAGCGTGGGAGACGCCTCGGGCTTGCTCTGGGCTGGTTGGTCTACTTTGAGTCAAAAGGGAACAATTTGAGTTTTAAATCTTGAACCACCCTTAATTTCTTCCAAGCAGATGATGGGCCAGCTGAGCCTTGCACTAGGCGCAAAGGTGTCGTTGTCCTGTGTGTGGAAGCATTCAGAAGCAATACCATAGGTAAATGTACACTTTAAAATAGTGACTCTTCACTTAGGCTCAAGTGATTATGAGTCCTATTTTTTTTTCTGCCTCAATACTCCAAAATAAGAAGCCAGTAGCAAAGCTATTAAATGTATTTATAACCTAATAAGATAGTAGTTTCTCCCCAGAGGATTCTGACTTGCCAGATACTGCAGCTAACCTTGATGTATGGAAGCTAAAAGCTCCCTCCAGAACTGCCCATCTTGTTAATTTGGGGTCAGCAATGCTGTGATAAAATTTCACTTATTAGGGTTCACAAAAAAAGGCCCTCAACCACTGGGCACTCCGGTCATGATGGATGGATGTTGGATCTGTAAACAGGCTGGTGGTCCCTCAGGATTGAGACTAACTAAGCCTTGAATTCTCAAAACCACTTGCTCCCGAATGCTGACTTTACAGATATGCGCCACCATGCCTGGCTCTTGAATTTTTTTTTCCTTTGTGGCTAATCAACCCGCTGAACACCATCGCCACCTTGGCTCCAAGCCTTCCCCATACTTAACATGTGCAAAGCATTTGGGAGGTGAGGTAGAGTGGCTTTCCAGGCCACCATAGGCAGCAGCAAAATTAGATAACTGAGATGCAGTTGGGGAGGGATTGTCTCCCCCAAGTAAGAAGGTTTCCTTTAAGCCTCTCTCTCTCCTGCACACAGGGACATGATTCAGCGGTAGATCACTTGCCTAGCCAGCACCAAATGAAAGGTCAAATTTGTAAAGGTGATCTACACTTAGCAGAGTACTGAAGCCAGGCTCCAACACTAGGCCGTGTGGCCTAAGCCGAATTAGCCTCCTGGTGCTGATGTAGTGGGTGGAAAGCATTAAGACTTCAGCAGCGCATTCCCTTTCAGTTTAATTTCCAGGGCTCAATCACCGCTAGCTCATTCTTTTTTCTAGGACCAACAATGCCCCATTCTGTTCCAAAGACCCTGTATGGGCTGGGTTTCTACCCTTGTGCCAGCCTTGCAAGGCAGGACACTAACTTGAAGAGAATAAAAACCAGCTAATTTAGTAGTCTGACCCTGGACTGGGAAGGTGTCCCAGTCAGGAAAGTGCTTGCTTGCTGTGCAGGCTTGAGGACCTGAGTTTGACCCCAGAACCTAAGCGAAAAGGCTGGGCATGGTGGTGTGTCTGTAATCTAGCACTGGGAACGCAGAGGCAGGAACTCTGGGCTTGCTGACCAGCCAGCCTCAAGTCTATGCAGTGAGTCCCAAGCTCCAGTGTCGGAGGACAACTGACAAATTGCAGGAATTGGGGGAGGGGCTCTCTTTCCTCGAGGAACATGGAGGAGCCAGAGAAAGATGGCTCAGTTGGTAAAGGCACTTGCCACCAAGTCTGAGGACTTGCATTCAATCCTTGTAGAGGAAGGATAGACCCAACCAATAACCGCAAGTTGTCAGGGGTCCTCTGACCTGTGTGTAGTGACACCACACACACACACACACACACACACACATACACACACGTAAAGAAAGGTGGACAGCTCCTAAGGAACATCTGAGGTTGACCTCTGGCTTCTGCAAGCCTGTGCATTCTAGCATATGTGCACAAAGAAGCCCGACTGCTACCCAGGCAGGCAACCTGTGGCTTGTGCCCCAATGTCCCACTCTCTGAGTCACCTATCATCCAGTGACTTCCAGCCAAGGGCTCAGAGTGTCCCTAGTAACCCCACTGCCTGCTGGTATAAAGAGGAGTTCAAAAGTTACAGGGTTACCGGGCGTTGGTGGCGCACGCCTTTAATCCCAGCACTCGGGAAGCAGAGGCAGGCGGATCTCTGTGTGTTCGAGGCCAGGCTGGACCGACAGCCTCCAAAACAGAGAAACCCTGTCTTGTATTAAAAAAAAAAAAAAAAAAAAAGTCACAGGGTTATTAGCAGTGTGGTTATCACCAGGTGGGTACTAACCAAACCTGGTTATGTCTGCATTGGTGGGCCCCTGGAAGGTCCCTGTGTTCCCAAGAGCCTCCAGCCACACTTAAGTGTTGACTGCTGTAGAGTGTCTTCTAAGCAGTGCTGACCCTGTCACTTCCCAAGCCTCCCCTAGCTGACTCTCTAGTTCCTCCCGCGGGGTCCAAGTCAGGGCACTTGACCTTCCTCGCTTCCTGTCAGCTTCCCTTGGACTGCGCTTGGGTGGCTTGTTCTGCCCCTTCTCTTTTCCGTCACCCTTCCTAGACTCTGTCCTTCCAGAAGTTTCTTTCCTGCATTCTGAGTGAGGCTCTGTAAAAATGACTATGACACTCTACCCTGCAAGGGCCTCCAAAATGCACACCACTTTGAGTGACCCCGTGTCACTGTTGTAGGTGCCACCCACCCTTCACCCTTCTGCACCCACAGCCCTCAGAAGCAGGGAATGGCCTTACGCCTTCTAGGTAAGCACCTACTGAGAGAGAGCATCCCCAGCACTTTACATTTTGAAACAGGATCTCACCAGGTTGCCCAGACTGGCCTTGAACTTTCTTCAATCCTGCCTCAGTGTCCCAAGTAGCTGGGATTAAGAGAGTGTGCCACCACGCCTGAGGAGCCAGCCGCACTGTGGTCATCTCTTGAGCGGCCAAGCCGGCACAGTCCTGATTCACAGCCAATACATGCTACTTGATATCCTTTTATTTATCGTTTTCTAAATGCAGATGAACTATCTGTTATTTACGCACCAGTTGCTACCCCATAAGCTGTTTTGTTCCTTTTGTTTTTTGAAATAGGATTTCTCTGGGTAGCCCTGGCTCTCCTGTACACAAGGCTGGCCTCAAACTCAGAGACCCTCCTGCCTCTGCTGGGACTAAAGAGCAAGCACCATCACCCCTGGCTACCGTAAACTTTCTGTTTAATTAAGGGAATTCGGGCATACTGCTGGGAGAGCACACATGCCCGTGGTGCATGCACAAGGAAGCCACAGGACAGCCTGCAAGAGTCCTCTTTCACCATGTGAGCTCTGGGGATCAAAGTGGAACCCACAGTGCCCACAGCTTTACCCACTGAACCACCCCACCATCCCCCGCCAACCCCCACTCCTGCCTCCCCCTGCCGTTGACTCTGTTTCAAAAAAGCTTGCATGAGGAAGGGTTGAGGATGTGATTTC